GTTAGTGCTGTATGAGTCGTACGATTTTTGCATCAAGCACGGGCAACGCCAGGCTATGCTTCTAGTATATTAACATATGCACCGCATATTAATATTTTAAAAAGACCAATAATATTAATAAATACGTCATCAATAATCATACCAATTGATTAAAATAAATATATAAAACTGAGACTATATAAACATCATAATTATGTATTATTACACAACATATATATTACATTATATTGTTGTAAAAGTATAATAATTATTATGTAATTATTAATTATCGCATAAATTAACCACTTTATATAATACTACCATATAATATTGGAAAAAAAAAAAAAAAAAAAAAAAAAAATGTCAATTATAAATATAAAAATATAAATATACCTACTAAAAAATTTTAAAAAATATATGGAAATCTGTTTAAAATTAGAATGTAATAAGGAAAAATAGGGTGGGGGAAAGAAATAAAAACAAAATCCAAGAAAAAAAGGGAATTAACATCACTAATTACAATGTACCTATAGATTTATAAAGATAAGTTAAAATTAAATAGAATAAAATCAATTGAAATAAAAAAAAAAAATATATATAATAAAGGATAAATCAATAAAGATACCTTGCCGTAAGAAAATAGGGAAAAAAAAGTGAGCGTAAGGGTAGAATATTAAAGATATTATTGATGGTCACCAAAGCATTAACAGTAATTTAGTGATAGAGAAAATATATTTTTGTGATGGGTATGTGATAAGAAATTTTGGAAGGATATAGTAAGGACGAAGGAGAAGTAGAATATACAGTGTAATTGTCAAATGATAACAGTTCATGCAAGTTCAGTCAGGATGGGGGAGAAGCAGAAATCACAGTGTAATTGTCAAATGATGACAATTTACACAAGTTCAGTAAGATTCTAGATAAGTTTAAATCTACTTCAGTGACATATAAGAGGTAACACTTTGTTTTTAAATTTCTTTAAAAATCATTTAATCACCAGTTACTTACCATTGCCTGAAGAAGTACAATCATAGTATTGAAACATGAAATCTTTTGTGTAGTGATTTCAACATTTTATTATAAGAGATTATAATAAAAAAAATGTGTGTGTGTATATATATATATATATATATATATATATATAAGTGTGCAGCTTATATTTTATATCAAAGAATTTATACAAAAATTAAATGTTAATGTGATTAATGGCAAAATCACTTTGCTAACAGAACTTATTCAAGGAATTGATAGTAAGTTAATATCTCATTAAGTTCTGTTAGTGAAATGATTTCACCATTAATCACATTAGCATTGCTACTTAATTCTTTGTATAAATTGTTTCTTTGTGAGATATATATATATATATATATATATATATATATATATATATGATTAATGTGAGTAAAATTTGTCACTTAGCTGAGTGATGTTACTTTCAGCATCTCAATTCCAAAGTTTTGTAAACAGACCTGTTCATCCACTCGTCAACAGGTATCAGCATTTCCTAGATATAAACAATAAGTATATTAAAATAATTATCGGACTTTGTCCATTTCATAATATATGACATCATTTATTTATATTAAGATACATTTTGAGCAGATATGAGAAATCATGAGAAATTTGTAGTTTAAAAGTAGTAATTTGACCTTGCTAACCAGATACTTCCTCTTTAGTTAAATGGCATAACATGTCAGGCTATATGACAAGAACGTGCAAGATACAGGTTCAATTCCTATCGAAGGACAAATTTTCTATGAAATTTCTCAGATATTCAGGCCAGTAACTGTTGTTAATACCATTTATTATAAAGAGAGCATTTACTTAAATATTTGTATCTATGAAAATAACTAACAAATTATATATATATACAGCATATTTTCATTCAAACAGGTTTGGTTAAATAATTTAGACAGATCATGTTGACTTATTTTGGTTGTGATCCTTTCAAGTTCACAGATTAATTTCTTCATAGCCTTAGAAAATTGATTAAGAAAAATACCAAAATTTTCTTTCAAATAATTTTTATTTTCCCCAAGTACTTTCAATCTCATTTGAGACCAAAAATATATATACACATTCACAGACAATTTAACCCCCTGAAGATGGTCTCAGATGAGATTGAAAGTACTTAGAAAAAATAAAAATTATTTGAAAGAATTTTAGTATTTTTCTTAATTTTCTAAGGCTACCAAGAAATTAAACCATGAACTAGAAAGGATTAAAACAAAAATAAATCAACATGTTTAAATTATTTCACCAAACCTGTTTGGATAATGACTCCATGTGTTAAAGGAATTTTCATCGATGAAATTTTTTTTTTTTCTTAAGAAATAGTGTCCGAATATATCTTATTCATAAAAGCAATTAAGAGCTTTTCTAATTAAATAATGTCTTACTTCTATTGCATCTTTTATGATTCAGAGCAGATGTTCAAGAAATGAGGCTCATGTTTTAGAAAAAAAAAAAAAATGAATGATTTAAATTCTCCAAGGACTTGTGCTTATAACTAATATAAACATCAAGCCATACAAAAATGAATTTTTCAAAATTTCATAAAATTAAATAAGTCGGAGGTAAATGATGTAAAACAAAATTTATTTTTATTAAGATTTTCTAAGAAAGAAACCTTTCTAAAATAATTTCCTTCATTTGGGAATAAATCCTGAAAGTCATTAAAATCTGACTATTTAATTTTCACAAAAATTTCTAAATCAATTTCCTATACTAATTTCCTGTCTTATATTGAAACAAAAAATTTTTAGGTTTTAAAAAAGGGTTAAAAAATATAATTTAATAAGAAAAATGCTTAGGTTTTTCTTCTAAATAATAAAGATTTTGCCAATAAAACTTTGTTTAATTAAGTTTGGGTCATTTTTTTTTCACCGTGGATGCTCATTTTTTAGCAAATCTTTGAAGGTACATTATATATCTTCAAAGATTTGCTAATATATACATCCCCTGATTAGTGGACGGACATGTCTGCCTATGAAACTCTGGAATTGGGATGCTGATGGTAACATCAATTAGCTAACTGCCAAACCTTTACTTGCATTAATTCTCTCTCTCTATATATATATATATATATATATATATATATATATATATATATATATATATATATATATAAAGGGTGCTGAAAAGTTCTTAGCCTAAACAAGCTATTTCAAAATAAATTCTGATCTGGGGAAATGGCTCAGAGTGATTTTTCAACCTCCTCACCGTATCGTATATAATAATAAAGGCATACAACTATGTCTACAGAATTAGCTCCAACTGAGCCTAAACAGGTAATAATCCTTGGATCAGGCATGATCTTTGGGGTATGCTCCAGCAGTACCTCACAATGTCACCAGAGTTTATTGGTTTTCCATCAGGCATTGACAGAATGTTACACCCATATAGATATGGGTTCTATCATGGCACATTAAGATATTTTCTCTCTTTTTTTGCTGTTGGCAATCTGAGTTTCTCAATTCTGCTGAGATTAAGTTGGCAATAAAATCTTTACAAAAGGATAAAGATTTTATTTAATCAAATGGACTGAATATAATGAAATGCTGTCAAAACTACAGTTAAACAAAATATTGATTGCCTTTATTTCAGATTAAAGCCTTAAATTCACTTTACCAAGTCTTTAAAGACAAAGTAGTTGTCCCCAAATATGGTGGTTGGATCATGTAAAGTCCATCGTTTCTTTCAGAAAAAAAAAAAATATATAATCACACTGCCTTTTATTTGTGAAGTTTAAAAAAAAAAAAAAATCTTTATATTATTACAAGAACAGCTCACTAGTCATTTGGCCGGTTAACTTTAATGCCTCAAAAACAAAACTGCTCTCTATTACTCACCACAAAGATCCATCCCTGCCCCCCATTAGAATGTCTGACGCTCAACTCCATGAGAGCACCTCTTTGCGACTGCTCGGTCTTGCATTGACTGCTAACCTGAGATGGAACAAATACATCGACTCAATAGCTTCATCCACTGCAAGGAAAGTTGGCTCCTTGTTCCATGCCAGGAAGTTTTTCTCGCCAGAGTCGATCCTTCAAATCTACAAATCAACCATTTGCCCTTGCATGGAGTATTGCTGCCATATATGGTCTGGTACCCCTTCTGTTTGTCTCAAGGTCCTTGATAAAATCCAGAGACGAATATGCAGTGCAATTGGCTCTGATCTGGCATCTTGTCTGTTGCTCTCTCACAGACATGCTGTCACCTCCCTTTGTCTTTTTACAAATACATTCACGGTAACTGCTCCGATGAGCTTCTTTTGCTGGTTCCCAGACTTTATGAATTTAAGTGTTCAACTAGGCTGGCATCTCACTCTCACCCTTTCACTGTCGAAACTGTTAAATGTAACTGTCTCTTCTACTCCAATATCTTCATGTCTCGCCTGTGGAACTCCCTCCCCTTTTCCTGTTTCACTGATAGATATAATCTCCAACTATTCAAATGTAATGTCAATCAATGTCTCCAGATGCCTTGATCTATCTCCTATCCTTCTCTTCATCCCTTCCTCTATCACTCCGACTCTGTAACCCCTTGCATGTGAGTGGCTTCCCACCTTGCTTGGGGTGAAACACTTAAAAAAAAAAAAAAAATATGCATTAATAACAAAAATGATTGCTACCTACATTGAATAATCTGCATCACTGATTTCCATCATTCAACTGTAATTACAATCAATTGCCATGAATGAAATTCCTGTTATCACTTTTTTTAAGCTAATGTTTGTCTTTCAGTAAACAAGACAACCACTTTGCTGAAAATGCCTTTGTTTGGGTAGGCTTATGCATCATGCTATCCAAAAGTTTAGAGAAATTGAATCAAATATAGTTCAGACTTTTGCCAGTAGTAGGCAACAGACATTTTTTATGGTCAAATTCCATGAACATTTTGATAGCATTTTTTATATCACTGTCAAATATTTGTTATCAAAATATTTTTTTTTTTAAATATCTCTTCATAAAAATTTCATGATTATTAAATTGTTCTTTTTTTTTCTTTTTTTTTTGTAGATGAAAGAGGCAAGTAAATCGTGTTCCGATTTGGACCAACAGGTTGCTTGCAAGATGGAGGAGGATGACGAGTGTTTCAGCCCTGGTCACTTGATCTACAGTCTCCGTCAACAGCTAATTGAAAAGGACAATGCAATCAAACGATTGGGCAGTGAATATGACCACAACTTGTCGAAGGTGCTGTCCAGCCTTCTTTTCCTAGAGGGTAAATTGCATAGAGAGCAAAAACATATTGTGCGTTTGATAGAACAAAAGGATACGGTTATCACACAACAGGAAGAGCAGATCAAACAGCTCTGCAAGCGAATACAAATCTTGCAGTCTTCTATAACAGATATCCAATCTCGTATGGACTCTAATGGTATCAATCAATCTTTGCAGGAGAACTGCGTGCCATCAACAGAGACGCCTGCCCTGCGTACCCAACCAGGCAGGAAATATTTTACTACTTCTGAGCTATCCCTCTCATCGTCCAGTCTAAACCAGAGCAACGAAGGGGGAAACATCTTTCGCAACCTTAGCAAACCCCTGCGGGAAAAGTTCTCCCGTAACAAAAGCAATGTGGACCTTCGCAGCTTTAAGCGAATAAATGGGGATGAGCTGTGTTATCGCAGCATGGAGAACATTCCGCAGGTTGTGCGTCGTGAAAAGAAACCACGGGATAAAGAACGCTGTATGAGTATTGCTGGTTACCCAAATTATGAAGATTTTCAAAACGACCCCGAACTTACGGCCTTTATGAAACAGATTCAGTTTGACAACAACCCTCCCTCTAACCCCTCCCTTCCAACTGTTGACTGTCAATCATTGTCTTCAACCCTGCCAAACTCCTTGTCAATATCGTCATCCACCAGTCTTAGAAACAGAACAGATGATTTGTTATCTGCTAATATTCACCACACAAAAGAGAGCAGTCGATCGCTGTCCAACTTGCAGTTTTCAAAAAGCAAATCAGATCTCCCACAAAAAAAGGCAGCTCCAGCTGAGATTAGTGCACCCACGACGACAACAGTTCACCATAGCGAAAGCAGCAACCCTTTCAAGCTAATTCGTGATACTTTGAAACGGAAGGGAAGCAAGCAGGTGAAAAACAAAAAGCAGTCATTCTCACTGTTACAAAACTCTAACCAAGATTTGATGAAATCATTGAAATTCTATGAACCACATGGAAAGTCTTAGCCCCTCACCTGAGAACTGATTCAGAATTGGGTTATTTGCAAAGGAAGATTTTTAAAAAAAATCAAGTCTATACAATAGGAAAAATGAAAAAATTTGCATTAAAAAAAAAAAAACAAAATGCAACTTTGTTTATATAGAGATTAAAAGAAAAAATTGCTACAAAAATGAAGGAATAATTAAAAAAAAAATAAAAAATAAAAAAAAAATAACAAAAAGATGACGCTTACACAAGAACAGCAAGATGTCACAGATCAGTAGACAGATCACATTCAATATACTTAGGGAGCAGCAAATGGATGACAGTTCAGGATCTTCAGGGATCAGTAGACAGATAACAGTTGGTACCCTTTCAAAACTGTAAACAGATGACATCTGCACCCTTTCAATACAGTAGACAGATGACGGTGGGGGGGGGGGCACCCTTTCATTTCATTAGACAGATGACAGTTGGTAACCTTCCATAACAGTCAAAAGATGACAGTCGGCACCCCCTTCAAAAATGTAGACGGATGACAGTCGGCACCCCCCTTCAAAACTGTAGACGGATGACAGTCCAGCAACCTTCCATAGCAGTAGACGGATGACAGAATACTAACATTGATATAAATTAGTATTTTTCTTGTAATAATTTTAATAATGGATGTAATTATGATTTTTACCAGAATGGTGTTGTTAATAATGTTGGTGAATTTTTTCCCTCTTCCCTCAAAATGAAAAGCAATTTTCAGGAATTTAGTAGAACAAAAGCCAATACATTGAGAACTGCTGTCCAAACTTGTATTTTCTCTTAATTAACCTGCCTGTAACGGCTCCAATTCTCCATCCCTTGTCTTCTCTCCACTCCATACCCACCTGCCTCAGAGTCTTGAGCAACTCAGGCACATGTATACACTCTTATATACAGAGAGACATATACATACACAAAGATATGTACATAGTAATGCATTTGTGTGTGTGCGTGTGTGTGCATTTAGTAAATGGGAATGCACTTTTCTTTTGTGTTCATGAATTATTTTTTTCATTCGGTTAAAAATGATCTTTTTATTGACATTTAGAATTTATAATAAAAATCCAATATTATTATTTGAAATCGTTTTCTTGTTGCCGCCAATTCGAGGAATTGTTTCTTTGCAATTTGCTGCATTCATTTTCTCTTTTTATTTTTTGTTTGAAAATAAATGCTGTTACTTTTTTTTTTTAACTGTCCTTTGCAGAAAATTTTTTTCTCACTGATTGACTAACAACTTTTCCTATCATGAGAGCAACAATAAACCTTGTAATTTGCAACCAACCAGGAAAGAAAAAAGCTCCAATTTTCTGCTTTTTGTTGCAAACGGATTTCTTGCCACATTAAACTCAGTTTTACTTCATTGACAATTTCTTTTTGTTGTATCCACCCACCTCGGATTTCTCCGTTTGCTATCTGAAGGTTTTCATTACAATTTTAGTCTATTTGCTTAAGGTATGTCAAAACGAACTTCTAAGCACACAACAAATTTTGTTCATTTTCTCAATTTTCAAATTAAATGGAAGCTGATTTCAAGAATAAACAAACAAATGTAATTATTTTGTAGCTACTTCCTTACATTTGCCATACACCCAAGCAGGATTCAAGATAAACATTTCCAAAATAGAAATTTTGATATAGAATTGGAATGAAAGCAGTGATGGCGGCATATATCCTGAATCCTATAGAAAAGGAAAAATCAGCATGTGGAATTAGTAAATACTACACACTTCAAATATCTCGGCATATAGATCAGTTCTAAGAAATTTGGTATAGGAGAAAATTAAATTGAACATAGAATAGACTGCAAGAGGTTATTTTGCCAAACACTGCAAGCTGCTAAAAAAACAAACTATTAAGCTGATAACCCAAGTCATGTTCTTATATAGTCTTGTTAAATCAAAACTTTCATGTGGATGTTGTGCATAGGATCGAACCCATTCAGAAATATCAAAACTGTCAGCTGTATCTTTCTAAGATCAATGGTTAAAATGGCTTTTGAGCAAGTGAAGCCTGTGGGTCATGGTAAACACTATCCTTCTTTGAACATTGTGAACTAGCACTCCAGAATCACAGACAAAAAACTGTGCCAAATAGCAGGAACCACATCACTTGACTTTCAACAGCAGCAACAACTAAAATGGAAAATAATGATATAATCAAGATGTTAATGTTTCACACTATTTCAAGTAAAAGGTTAGGAAGGAAACCCCCATCAATACTGGAAAGAGTGATAACAGTTACTAGATTTTTAAGAAACCTATTTTCATGAAAAAATGTTTTAAGAGAAAGATTTTATAAATTTCAACCAACAATGGTACTAGCTGATCAGTCAATGAATGCTGAATGATAGAAAAATAGCTAATATTACCATTACTGACGATTGCACCTAGCATGAAACAGTATGTTGCCTCTGAGTGTTGACTTCAATGTTTATATATATATATATATATATATATATATATGTGTGTGTAAATGTATGTGATGAATACAAATATGAAATTTGTCATTTGGCTGATTGATGTTATATTCAGCAGCCCAACTCTAGAGTTTTTGCAGATGAATCATTTTTTTGTAATCGTTCAGTCCACTCATCAGGAGCAATTGACTTCCATAATCTTCAACTTTTAAAAACATTTATAATATGTTACTAACCATTGAGATATTCTAGGAAATTTTCAATCAAGTTAAGCCTGGTCAATTCCTGAATTCACGTCTCAATTTATTTTTTTTACCAGTATTATTCAATAATACTGAAATGCAACAATTGTTTGAGGATTGTCTCCATTTTAATCTGGAAACTATTCACCGAGTAACTTCTGTTAAAATTCTTTCCTACTGCAAAAGGAAAAAAAACCATCAAAGGATGAAGAATTTTTTTTAATTCTTGAGGCCAACTTCCAAATAAATATTTTTATTTTTTTTATTTATTTATTTCATCTCTGTTGAATGATGACGAATATTGTTTCAGATTCTTCTCATTCTGAATCATTATCTTGCTTCAAACACAATTTGACTAACACCTTCGATGCTGGCCTTCATTTCAGTGAAATGATTCCATTGTTTTATATCCACGAACCTCTTAGACTCACAATTCAAAAGCTACAATTGTCATTTGTGTCTCACCTTATTGAATGATGCAAAAAGATTAGACAATTTTTTTTTCTTTATGTAGCTCTATTTTTTTTGGGGGGTGCTCTTTTCACATTTTCCTTTTCTTTCATTTTCATCCTCCTCTTCACTCACCTGTTCCCCCCCCCATCACCACACTTTCATTCCCTTGTTACTGTTTCAAACTCATTAAAATCAGAAAAAAAAAAAAAGGATTCATCAAATTGTCACTTTAAAAGACTTATCAGTATTTTTCTTAGTTTCTTGAAATAAATCTCAGTTTCAGGTTTCAACCAAAATGTCACTAAACTACAATGGTAAGGCCACTCAGTGAGGATCAAGCTGTTTATACCAAACGAATTTGTCTGCATAGCGAGCTTGTTCACCATCTCAAGTAAACAAAAAGTTACGTTTTTTTTTTTTTTTTTTTAATATAATGTGTATAAATGCCATTAAAAAAAGATGCCATTATTTACAATAAATTCCTCGTTATTCACTTGTTAAATGTTGGGTGTAAAAATACCATTTGTTTTTGGATAACTGTTACAGAAACATCAGTCACGTGATATCTTGATTTTACAACATTTGGGTGGGTGGCAAGAATGTTCGTATATTTCTATCTACCCAAATAGATAATTATTCATGCATTTTGGACAAAGAAATCATTGCTGTATAGTGAATGACAGTTTCACGCTTATATGCTATCTTCAACCAAATCTTGTCCGAAGCTCACATTAAAGCAGGAAACTGACAGTCACCATACAATGTTGATTCCTATGTCTGACCATCTGTATCTAAAAACTATATATATTTCTGATAATGAACACTCCCTATAAATATAGCAAATTCTAAATTATAACACTGTATTGGCTGGCCTATTGCACACACCCGGATTTTGGCAGGGAATATTTAGGGGGAAAATGCTCACATCACAACCAAAAATATCAAAATGGTAACCTTACCTTTGTGACCTTCTCACTAACTATGAAGAAACACTTACAGCATTAGTACAAATTATGAGACTGGTACTTTTTTTTTTTTTTTTTTTTTTTTTTTGATAGAAGTGAGATATGGTCTAATTACCAGGACATTTAAGAAAAGAATTTTAGTACATTTCATAATGCATTTATTGAAAATTGTTTTTCAGGGAGCAACATCTGCACATACACTAACTTCATAATAGCTACAAAGAAATCTACTGATATCAGCGGACACCAGATATATGTTAATAGGCAAAAAAAAAAACAAAGACAAAAAAAAAACACATGGTACTTGTTGGTAAATGAAGTCCCATATCATACATGCAAAAAAGCAAATTCCAATATGTGTATATCAACAAAAACACACAAAGCAAGCAACAATATACAGTAAGAGCAAATATTTCTGTAAAATCTAGTATTTCTACCAAACAAGCAGTAAAATATTGTGCAGTTCCATAAATTGCTTAATTTCTTTTTCCTGTACACTATTTACATTATTCGGACTATTGCCCTCATCTTTGTCGCCATATTTATTACGTTTCAGCATTGTACGCTCCGGCCTTCTTCAGGACACATGGCACAGTGGTTAAAGGCATTAGTTAGATCGGATGACAGTACCCAAAGAGTGTGAGTTCAATACCCAGTTAAGGCAGTGGAAAACTTTCAGTGAAATTAACAGGAGATAACTGATATCCATTAAACATGGAACTAGAACAGTCTACCCCAGTGAGCAAAATAAAAGGTTCAGTTCGATATTCCAACCACCTGAAACGTTGTAATATAGCGACAAAGATGAGGACAATAGTCCGAATAATGTAAATAGTGTACATAATACCTCATCTTAGAAATATAGACAGATACAGATCTATACAATTTCATCCCAAATCATTGAATTTACTAAA